GGGAGAAAAGAGGATTTACTGCTACGAGCGTTAGAGTCGAACTCACTTACGCGCGCCGAGAGCGGGTGGAGTAACACGCGACGGAGGGAACGCCGGCGGTCCGCCGTCGGCTTGGCTTAGCGCTCCGGTTCCCCGCAACATTCCGGCGAGGCTTCAAAGGAGAGGGGATTTGTGATGGGCCGGGCCGGAATGTCAGACGAGACAATACCCACTCAGGCCTGGCCGCTTAACAGGCCGATATGGTTGACGCTTAATCGTGTTATTAAAACTGTGATTTGGCCATATGATTTTACTTACGATCTTAATTGACAAAGCTGTTTAATTATCCGATCCTTAACAGAGTCTACTTTTCCATAATTTTTACGGGAACTTGAAGAACGCCCGGCGCAATGCTATGGAAATCGCCGGTGAAATTATACTATTTATATTTACTGATACGATTGAATAAATATCATAATACATGTTAGTGGATGATTTTTAGCATCCTGATGTGGACAACTAAATATATGTTAGTAAATGATGTGGTTTGCTAATGTGAATAGCTTCAATGAAGACATAATGGCCTACGTTAGTTGGATGTGTTAGTAGATGCTGATGTGGACACTTTGCATGGTGAGATAGTTGAATGTGTTAGTGGAATGTTCTAGTGGATGCTGATGTGGATACTTTGCATGACAAGATAAAATTGCTAGTGAGTTTATCTTCATAAGATATATAGATTCTCTGGGTTTTTTCGTCCGTCCAGGCATATTCATCTAGACTCCCCTATTCTCGGGCCTACGCAGTCGGCCCAACAGGCTTACTCCGCTCCACCTTAAGTGTGTTTTATGGATTCTCGAAAAAAAGACAACGACATTTTCCTTTCCCCACAGTCATAGGCATGCGACTACCGCTCACCAGCCGCACGCATGTGACCGCCCCCATCCACCTCGCGCCTTCTCTAGCCCGGCGGCCTTCTCTAGCTCGGGGGCCTTCTCCAGCATGGGAGCGCCGCACCTAGACCCCATCCCGCACTCCTTTGTGCCCCCATCCACCTCGCGCCGTCCTAGCCACGACGTGCACCACTGCCTGCCGAAGATACCGTGGCAAGAAGGGAAGGCCTGTGCCTACGCCTAGGTATACGTTGGGCAGCTCTTGACATAACCCAGGCTTGAACTTGCTGGCTACTCGCTGGCGATGCGGTGTTTCAAGTGTTTCAGGTGTTTCAGATTTATATTTTAAGTGTTTATTGCAAAAGTAGATCTAAGATGTTGCACATATTGTAATGACAATGTACGCATGTTGCAAACCTATGTTTCAAAGTGTTTCACATGTTTCAGACATATGTTTCAAGTGTTCCATATGGATGTTGCATATGTTGCTATAGCTCTGCACGCATGTTTCAAACCTATATTGAAGTGTTTCATATGCTTATACTTATATCGCAGGTGTTTTATTTTGATGTTACAGAAGTAGATATAGATGTTGCATATGTTGTTATGCCTATACACGTATGTTTTAAGCGAATGTTTGTGTTTCATCTACTTTAGACGTATGTTATAAATGTTTCATTTAAATGTTTCAAAAGTAAATCAGGATGTTACACGGCGCCGATAGCTGGAGGACAACGGCCTGCTGAAGCCGCATGTCGCTGCTGCTGGGGCGCAGCCATGGGTCAACCCACGTGGATTTCCCCCGTGCGGGCGCGGAGACGTGGGCGCTGGCGTTGGACGGGATGCGAATGTGGATTTCCCGTGTTGGGCGGGATGCGAGACCTAGGTGTGTGAACCGCGTCCGGACGCGACGTTCCGTCCGGAGGCGCTAGGCTTTCAGTAATTTTTATGTTCGATTTAAAATCTACGATTGTAGCAACCTTGGCAGAGACAGGATTAAAAAAACCATACACACATACACACTTTACGCAAAGCTGAGACGATCAGACGATCGACGACCAAACAAGCCATCTTTGTAGCCTCGCCTACACAAACTCGGAAGGGCGGGAGGCCGGAGCACAGTTCCGATCATCGCGCGGCATTTGCAACAACGTCGACATGACCCGCTGGTGACGGTGGCGACGCCGCCACCTCGTCCGTGGAGCTGCTGGACGGTTCCGACACCGACAATGCCGTCGGCGAGCCGTCCCTGGGCTTCTTCGTCGGCGGCCTTGGAACGTCGGGGCACGTGGCGGAGTCGTCCCGCATGCCGGTGTTCTTTGCGACGACCGCGCAGACACGCTGCTGGCGGTCGAGATCTGTCAGACAGAACACGTGTCAGCGGCGCGCGCATGGCACAAGATCCTTCCTAATCCTGGAATGGAAAGCAAAATCAAAGTGCGTAATCTTGGAACTAAGAACGGAAATACAATGTGATCCGGATCGGAGGATGATGTCTGCCGATTGCCTGGCCGCAGTCAGCGGCTGTCGCCCGGAACACCAACCAACCACACGCCGACATCACTTGCTCTCCAGGCAAGTACAGTATGAACGACACCAACTGATCGTGTCCCCATCACAGGAAGCTTCAGATTTGCCTCTGCCGGTGTTACCGTCTTATGAAGCAAGAACCAAACCAACATGTTTCTGGGAGAAGTTTGTCCTATTGTTTGCGTGAAGCCACGAACAAGATCGAGTTTTTCAATTTTGGTCGCAGTTTGTCTGCACGAGACCGGGGGCTCACCAACAGCGATTCAGAGTTCAGACATGTTGCTGGTATCCCAGGCTTCAGAAACCTGATGAAGCGAGTGCATTTTCTTTGCTACCATGTGTTCTGCTGCGACCACGGGTACAAGAACTAACAGAGGAATGGACAAAGCAACATGCTGTGATATGCGCATGATTCTACTGGAAAGATCACATAAGGAACCAAAACCTTTGCTAAGAAAGGTGCAATCATACTGTCATAGGAAGCAACCACTGAACTGAATTACTGAACCACAGCAAAAAGAACGATGCATTCTGAACTGAAGAGCAGGACGAATGGTCACTGTACCTTGAGAAACCCTGGAGGTACCAGTCAACGCAGCAAAGTTGCCCAGGGACGACAAGTCCGAGGACGCCATGATGTCGTTCATCTGCGAGGAAATACAGGACAGAACAAAATTAAATTAAGACTTTACTGATCAGAATTCAGACATTTGGAGAAAAAGTTGCAGCGGCAATGCACTGAATTCTGGTGCCCTGTGCGTTTACCCAGCTTGGAGACGCGCTGCCCGCTGCGCTGTCCCAGCCGATGTGCGTGACGTGCTTCACGTCCGTCGGGTAACCGATCTCCATCTCGTGCTCCTTCACCGCTGCAAGGACGATCCATGGAGGAAACAAACGGGCGACGAAGAGACAAGACGACCATCGTACGTGCATGGCCAAAGTTGAGGTTGAGGATTTCAGACGGGAAAGAAAATAAAATGCCCGCTTACCGAAGATCCGGGAGAAGACCTTGAGGCCCTTGAAGATCCCTTTCACCTTGTACGCCATTGGAGATCGTTCGATGCTGCACGTCCTTTGAGAACAAGGAGACAGAGGCGAGGACGGTACGCGAGGACAGCCAGCAATCAGCAGTTTCAAAGGCTTTTCCTGCGGCTGACAAAGATATTGCATCAACCAGGTTCTGTGATCGTGAAGAATGAAATAGCATCGATCGCGTGCATAATGATGGATCAGTGATGTGATATGTGTCTGCAGAAGCTTTCATCTGCTAGCTGCATACCTCAAGAGAGTTGTTGGCGATGTGAAAGATTTGGAGTAAACAACAATTCTGTCACCACTCGTGGAGTTCTAGCCTTGATGTATTGAAAGACCTCGAGGAAGCAACAGTTCTGTAGTGTAGGAAAGTAATAGTTTAAGGATGGTAATAATCTTACATTACAAGTCTGAATCATCGTAGAATCCTGTCAACTTATCCACTTTCTTTTGTGACAGTAGACAGCACGATTTACTGGGTTTTGTAGCTGACAGTCTGCCTACTTGTAGATTCACGATTTGTTAACAAATTAGAGAACTGTTTGTAAAAGGTGGGGGCAGGAATATTTTGCAGAGATTTTTATTCAAAAGCCACTGTTTTGATTAGAATTTCCTTGCCGGCCCACAACAAAAATTTCTCCTTCCATCTGCTTCCAGATCCTATCCTTCAGGTAGGCAAAGGCCAAGATATTTTTCACTCGCACTGGAAGGCCAAGATATTTTTCACTCATTGTTTCTTTCGTCACCTACAGTAGATCACACACTTCCCGCTTCCTTTGTCCTTTGGTGTTTGTACTGAAAAGGACAGCAGACTTCGCTTTGTTAACCATTTGCCCAGAACAAATGCTCGTAGAGATCAAGGATGTTCTGAAGCTGTTGAGCATCCCGATATTTGTATCTTGACTTCAGATAATAACCAGACGCTGTGAGTTTGGTAGTGTCAACAATACCGTAAAAGACTAAAATTACAGGGTTTTCCGTCTCCCTCCCTCTTTTTCACTGCCTGTAGCCTAACCAAGTAACAAGCAAGGTTGCGCGCTGGGGTTGGCTATTGCTCTGAAATTTGGGACCTTTGTTTTAATATAAAATTCTATTATTTTTATTGCGATGATGTTCACTCATACGGAAACATGTGTGCCTCGTTATTCAGCGTATGATGTTTCTCTACTTCTCACACTTCTTCACAAACCATGCAGTGAATACACTTTTTTCAGACAATACTCAAAAGATTGGCCTGAACACACTTCTATATGACCCTATGAAGTTCCAGTTGCGAACAATAGGAACACTAAGGTAAACAGTCTAAGATGAATAAAAACAAAGCACAAGACAGGCAGAAATATAATAGCCGCCACACAAGAGAGATCACCATTTATTCGCTCCCAATCTTGGGCGTCATAACTAACGTTTACAACAGCTAACACAACTAACATTATCTTCTAAGTCCTAACCAGGGGGTGTTACAGAACTAGTTCAGCATTATTCCCAGCTACAATTCGTTTTTTTGCAGACCATTAATTCCTTAGCTACAATTTGTACACAGTTACGTCAAGCAACCATCAGCTCCTACTTAGTGGAAGATGCTTTCGTCTCGTTCTTCTTCCTCTTCCCTTCCGGCGATGTCCTGCCCCGCTTCACAGGCTTCTCACCAGCTGGTTTCTTTATGGTGTTGGTAGCATGCAGTGTGGCACATAGGCGCAGTGGTATTCTGGTCCTCCGATGAAACGCTCGTACACAGACATATCCTGCAAAAAATCACCAAGCGGTTCTGCCCTGTAAGATTAGACCAGAAAAGATTCCCCTAAAAAGAACAAAAAGATTAGACCAGAAAAGGAATTGCATGTCATGCCTGTGTCAAACAAACCCGTAGGCCGGGTAACTGGTCTGCAATACTATGCTTTCATAGCATGCAATTTCTATGTCACAAAGCTTATTTGTCTTGCACAGGTTGTTAGATGGATTACATGTTGGATTTTCCGTCTATGATTCTGGGATTTGAACCTATGACCTATGAGCTGAGAGCCTTGAGATGAAGACCAACGACTCAGCCAAAAGAAAAGAAAACCAAGAAACATTCAGAGCCACTTGATACCTTCCTTGAAGCATTCCTGGATATCTTCCCTTGTTTGACCTGAGGTTGATAAGAATTTAAGTTAAATGACTCATCAACAATCATTTCATGGCTGTCTTTCATGTTTATATTTCACTTATATAATACCTTTTGTGATTGAGTGTATAGATGAACCAAAGTATACAACGCTTCTCTTCAGCATCCCAATACATTCCCTAGGTATAGTTATTGGGTTTCGGCTAGATGAGTAATCTGCAAAAACCTACAAAAGGGTATATTTTTTATGGACTAGTGTTCAACCAATCTGGTATGGTATTTGCTTTGATTATTAAAGGCTATATACCTCATTTTCCTGGAAGTAGGTACCATTCAGCGGAAACTTTCCTCTATTTGCTGTCCGACATGGTATCTGCATATTCACATATACATGGTTAAGGAATAACAAAACAAAACAGAGGGGAACATAACAACTTCAATCAGCAATATTGAGGAAAAATAGTTCAATGGTGAGTTTAGAGAGAGAGAGAGAGAGCATTGTTGTCATTAGTGTTACGTACCTTAGGGATCACAAAAGATAGAATGCTCCAGAGATGAAGAGGGCAATATATAGAGAGCCTCATGGCTAAATATAGAGTGGGCCTATAGATAGGCTGGGCCTATAGATAGGCCTATAGATAGAGCCTTAACCATACACTTAACACCCCCCTTCAAACTCAAGGTGAAAGTGGAGGATCTAAAGCATTGAGTTTGATCAAGTGAAGCCGATGCTGCTCCCGAGTTTGTGCTTTAGTGAAGAAGTCAGCCAATTGCAACTCTGAAGGCACATACTGGAGAGAAATAGTCTTCTGATGACAATGAGACCGAGTAAAGAAAGCATCCACACCAATATGCTTTGTGAGTTCATGCTTCACAGGATCATTAGCAATTTGTATGGCTCCTGTATTATCACATAGAAGAGGTGTGGCAACATCACAAGAGATGCCTAAATCAGCCAACAACCATCGAAGCCATACAATCTCTGCAGTAGTAGTGGCAAGGGCTCGAAGTTCAGCCTCTGTACTAGAGCGAGATACAGCTGCTTGCTTCTTGGACTTCCATGCAATAGGAGAAGAGCCAAGAAGAATGCAATATCTGTTGGGTCACTCGCCCAAGTGGAATCCGAGTAAGCATGAAGCTGAAGCGGACTATCATGCGCATAGAGTAAACTTTGAGATGATGTCCCCCGTAGGTAGCGTAGCACGCGAAGTAAATGTCCAAAATGAACAGAAGTTGGGGCACAAACAAATTGACTCAAAATATGGACTGCATGAGCAATATCCGGCCTAGTGACAGTGAGGTAAACAAGGCTGCCCACAATGTGTCGATATCGAGAGGGATCTTTAAGAGGTACCCCATCAGTGGGACGAAGCTGCAAGTGAAGATCCATGGGTGTGGCAGCAGTTCGACTATCAGTGATGCCTGAACGAGCAATAAGATCTTGTATATACTTAGACTGAGAAAGATGATAGCACTGAGTAGATTGCTTGACCTCAATGCCTAAGAAATAACTGAGAGGACCCAAATCAGACATCTGAAATTCAGCACTGAGTTGTTGCTTCACATGGGAAATGTGATCCTTATCATCACCCGTAATCAGCATATCATCAACATAGAGAAGAAGCAACGTACGGCCACGTGGTGACAAATGAACAAATAAAGCCGGATCATGATCACTAGCTGAAAAGCCAGCAACCCGTATCACTGAGACAAAACGCTCATGCCAAGCACGAGGAGCCTGTTTAAGGCCATATAAAGCACGGCGAAGACGACAGACATATCCTGGAGGAGCGACAACACCCGGGGGCGGTTGCATATAAACTTCTTCAGTCAAATCACCATGAAGAAAGGCATTCATGACATCCATTTGAGATATGGGCCAAGAAGAAGCTGCACGCAACTCGCAATTAATGTACGGACTGTCGTCATATGAGCAACAGGTGCAAAAGTCTCATCATAATCTAGACCCTGAGTTTGCTGAAAACCTCTGGCAACAAGACGGGCCTTATATCTCTCTATAGAGCCATCTGACTTGGTCTTCACTTTGAATACCCACTTAGATGTAATAGGTACTGTGTGCGATGGCAATGGAACAAGATCCCAAGTGCCTTGACGATCAAGGGCGGCAAGTTCCTCAGACATAGCTAGCTGCCATTCCAGAATTTGAGAAGCTTCCTGATAAGTGGATGGCTCATCAACAACAAAGATGCACTTGGGGAAAACCGTATTCTCTTGGGATGAATGGTATGCTGCGGTCTCAAGATTATATCGTGGAGCAACTCAGAACTCATCAACATGTGAATCATCAATGTTATTATTAGAAGCATCAACAATGGGCTCATCTGGACTAGCCATGGTGGGAGAACTAGACGGAAGCCGGGAGGGACGACGGTACATGAACACGTGTAATAGGTGGTTTTGAAAAAGATTGAGATGGAGACGAGGATGTTGTAGGAGGTAAAAGTGGTGTGATGGAAATAGGAGGATCAGATGGTGCGAAGCATCATCGGTGGATGAATTTGGAGGAAGGCTCAAAAAGAGGTGGACTCTGTGGGAGAATATGAAGGGTTAGTGGAAGGGTTATAAAAGAAGGCGATCCTCATCAAAGGTAACATCACGAGAGATGCGTGTCTGACGGGAAGAAGGGTCATAACATCGATAACCTTTATGCTCGTGGACTATACCTAGAAAAGCACATTCAACAGATTATGCAGTCAATTTTGTGCGCTCACGAGGTGCAAGCAGAACATAGCAAGTACATCCAAAAACTCAAGATGATCATAGCTAGGAGGAGTACCAAAAGTACTTCACCAGGATGTGATCGAGACAATTTAGATGAAGGTTGCCTATTGATGAGATAGACAAGAAGGGAAACAACTTCTCCCCAAAAATGAGAAGGGACAAATGATGAAATCAAAAGTGTGCGAGCTGTCTCTATGAGATGGCGATGTTTTCGTTCAACAACACCATTACGAGCATGAGCACTGGACAAGAGAGCTGTGCAAGTGTACCCTCGCATTTATAGAAATTGGCGAAAGACAATGAGACAAGTACTCACCCCAGTAGTCCGAACGAAGAACTTTAATGGGAGCTGAAAATTGTGTGTGAACCATTCAACAAAAGACGATAAATGGAACACAATTGTGAACGATGTTTCATGAAATAAATCCATGTATAGCGAGAATAATCATCAATAAAAATGACATAGTATTTATGACCACCTTTTGTAGCAAAAGGTGCAGGACCCCATACATCAGTGTGAATAATATCAAAAGGTCTAGCAGAACGAGAAACACTAGAAGGGTAAGAAAGTTGTATTTGTTTGCCAAGCTTACAACCCTTACAATGAAAGCTAGACTCAATAGAGGTATGACCTAAACAACCTTTATTTATCATGGACGACAAACGAGACCCGGAAAGATGACCAAGGCGATGATGCCACTTGGCAAATGAAGAGGTCAAGACGATGCAATGGATGAGACATGAGTCGTAGATGGAACTGACGAAGGAAGACGTGGGGTGTTCAAAACGTAGAGGCTAGAAGCACCTTTACTGGCGATGGCGGTCCCAATCACTTTCCCGCTGACGGTCCTAAATAAAACAAGATGAGTCATCAAAACCAACAAAGCAATTACGGTCGGTAATTTGACCAACCGGCGGAAAGATTCATAGACAAGCCGAGGTACAAAGGAAACATTGGGTACAGAAAAGTGATTATTGCAAAGTGAACCCTGATGAGTGATATGACAATATGTACCATCACCGTCTCGAATGTAAAGCACCATCGAGGACCGGCTTGCGAGCAACCACCGGGACCGATCGAGGTCACATGAAAAGAAGCGCTGAATCAAGCACCCAAGCCGAGGGAGCACTAACGATGAGGAAGTAGCCACTCAAATCGAGCCTCTAGGAGTGGAACCAAAGATTACCACGACCACGACCACCATGAGCAAAGACGCCGTGCGATACTCAGCCAACTTCTGCGATGATGAGAGAAACAATTTTCTGAAAGATGACCAGTCCTGCCACAATGCTTACAAGGTTCGGCAGAGGTACTATTGGGTGCACTAGTCCTCCGAGAAGCTGCCAACACACCATGAGACACTGTAGCGGACAGGGACTTGAGACGAGTTTCTTCTGCAAGCAAATCGACAAAGCATTTGCCATAGTGAGATCAGAAGAACTGTGAAGCAACCGTGTAATGGGATGGAATCATACTCAGCTCGAACTCCCATGACAAATCTGTAAGTGAAAAACTTTTCAATAAATTTATGTGCTGGACAAGAATCAGCTGAACATTCAGGTACCATGGAAGTCAATGATCCCATCAATCGATCAAAAGCAGAATAGTACTCATCAATGGACATATCATTCTGCTCTATGACATGAGTTTGCTGCATAAGACTATGTAAAAGAGCCCCACTGTCCTGTACATAGCGCTGCTTTAGATTTTCCCATATGGCCTTAGCAGTTTTGAACTTAGAAAGACTCATAATCAAGGATTGTTTAGTACTATTGACCATAGCAGCCATCACTTTGCCATCATTGATACCCCAATCCTTTACTGCAGTAGCATTACTACCATCCTCCTTAGGCTTAGGGGCATTGTCAGTTAGATGATGTAGTAAACCATGACCCCTTAAAAGCAGTTTCTACACAGAAGGCCCATTCAGGATAATTTGGACCCTCTAAAGTGATACGGATGACAATTGCATTGAGCTGAGACTGAGACATGATGGAAACAACTGCCAACAGCTGACCAAGGAGGAGGAGGCAGGCAGCGATTTGTTACCACTGTGGTATAAGAAGCAGACGACCCCCCCTATTTGCTGAACGCAAGACCTCCTCTGCTCTGTTCCCAACAGGCGAGCAGAGCAGGGAAGTTGGAGACTGAAGAGACGTGGAGCAGCGACGAGCGGAAGCAGATGACGATCAGGACCTCCTCTGCTCTGTTCCAACAACAGGCGGGCAGAACAGAGAAGCCGGAGATTGAAGAGGTTGAAGAGGCGACGAGCAGCGACGAGCGGAAGCAGCAGACGACGATCCCATCAAGAACGGAGACGAAGTCGCGGCGACGCGTGCTCATGCGACGGAAGATTCGCGATGCAACTCACGAGCCGCGACGGAGACGAGTCGCGATCCAAGTCGCGAGTGATGTGGACGTGCGGAAGCCTCGGGCGGGCGATGAGACGGCAACGGGCCGTCGGGCGAAGGGGCACGATGAGACGGCGACGGACTGTCCACGCGGGAAGACGGCCGACGAGAGGGCACAGCGACGGGCCGCGCGAAGAAGAGAGGATCCCAAGGAAAAAAATGGATCGTGGGTCAGACTAATCTAATCCTAACCCTAATCCCATAGCTCTGGTACCATGTTACGTACCTTAGGGATCACAAAAGATAGAATGCTCCAGAGATGAAGAGGGCAATATATAGAGAGCCTCATGGCTAAATATAGAGTGGGCCTATAGATAGGCCTATAGATAGAGCCTTAACCATACACTTAACAATTAGAACTATGTAAGAATTTGCATCAACAAAAAGAAGTGATAAGGAGTTGCCAAAGTTTTTTCAATAATTTTTTTAACGCATTTTTCAATAATTTTAATTTAAATCAGAATAAGAATTCTACAGAATTGAAGGGTATGTTTGGATGAAAGAGAATAAAATTCAATATCCTTGGGTTGGTTGGGATCAAAAACGAATTAATTACCCAGCCAACCCCAAGGGATTGGGTTGAAATCAAAACCAGGCCATGGCTGATCCATCAAAGATCAGTAAAGCAGCTGAGTGAAAGTCATAGTGGTTGTGACTCCTAAGCAGAACCTTCAGGTCCTGGGTTCAACTCCCGTAGGAGCAAATTTCAGGATTGGTTAGAAATCATAATAGTAGTTGCTCACCAGAACCGTGCCTTCCACTGTGTAGTCATCAGGACAAGAAAGAACCACTAGTAGGTAAGGACATATATCTTCTGGAACTCGGTCTTCGAACTGGTACACAAGCAAATAGGTCACTAGATTAATCAATGTCAGTGTAAAAGAAAAAATATAACTCATAATTGTAGTAAAGTTAAGAATCACACAATATAGCACACCTCTTCTAGGATTAGATGATCATCTGGGAGGACGTATCTACAATAGAAGTTAGAAAAAGAACTTAGAGAGGTGCTGCTGATTTCGAAGGACAAAATTATATCAAGAAATCAAAATTACTTACGCATTATGTTCTGTCCTAAGACGACCGATATTTTTTAGTTTTTTATTTCGGCCAAAGCTACCCTTTGGATTGATCACAGCCAAGTCCTTTCCACGGTTCAGTGTCCAAAAATTACTGTTCAGCACATGCTTGCTTGAACAAATATTTATCTCAGCATCATATTGTACTCCTTCTGGTGCAAAATCTTCAATATCACATGCATAATAATCTTCGTAGGAATCTTCTTGCTCATTAGGTGTTCTGTTGTATTCATATTCTGGGCTTGGTGGCATCTCAATAATTGGCTCGCAATTATGGATGGGTGGTGTTTCTGTAGTGCTGCTTATTGGAATTTGATACTGATACATTTGTTGAGAACTTGGTGTGCAACTCCCAGAAGCAACCATGTTTGCTTGCTGTTCTCCTTGTTCATGTTCATGCTTCTCTGGAAGAGGAAGCGGCTTTCTGAAAACAACAAGAATCTTTCCAACTCAGCAATACAAGCCACAATAATACTGGTTTGAGTTAGGTGAATAGAGGAAGAAATTAATTGTTTTAAAACTAAGGGTTAAGACGGAAAACAACTTGAAGAGTTGAGTGAGAGATAATCTTTTACTAATTGAAAGCAATAATGAATGAAGTCTACCAAACAAGTCCCCCCACCCCCACCCCTAAATAAGTCACAAATTTCTTGTCATGGACCCATATCACTGGACGTGGTTTGTAAAACACCTGGGAAAGAGGAAGGTGTGGCAGCTGGAGGATGACTTACCTCAAAGTAACCTTAATACATTGGATCTAATATATGGAATGCAATCCTTATAATCTGGAAAAATTCTAGAATACAACTTCCTAATTCTCATAACTTAATGGTCAAGTAACAAACTGCGTAACAAAGGTGGACCCATGTTACTGTATGTGGGAATGGAGAAGTCATGGCTGGCTTTGCTCGCTTAACTGGCTGGTTTCCTGACATTCCTTACGATAATTCAGAGCACCCATCTTTCATACTGTCGCAAATGTGATAACTTACAGGAGCACTCTCTTTTCTTTTGGTTTATTATCATCTGATTGGTTCTTTGAATAGGTTTAGTTATGTTGTTAGTAATTAATTTTTGAAAATCTAATCTAAACTAATGGTATCTGATAATACCTATTTGTTATGATATATATTAGTTAAATGGATGCTAAGTTTAAATTTAAATGTCATAAAGTTATACAAATACTTAAGGCACAGTCTACAAACAACAGTATAAATCATGAACATACCTGGCAAGTAAACTATTGTAATATATACAACTTGCACTGAAAGGACAAGCTCTGCAGTTTGGATTTTGTTTTGTGCACACTACCTGAATCATGAAATCAATCAACCACAGTCAGAGTTGAAAAATATTCATAGCAAAACGTAAATATAACTCACTTAGAATATATGCGTACCTTTCCAAAAGTTATCATAAGACAGTGCAGTTCATACCTATTTTTGTACAGGTAGTCAGATGGATATGCTTAGAGACTAAGAGTAATGGTGAAGTGCTACTAATCTTCAAAGGAGATTGTGGACTTACAGCTTTTCCTTATCAATGGTGCACAATCGAGGCCATAAGTACCTTTGTACATCATCCAAGAGCGGATATCTTCACGAAACAAAAAAAGGAAATATGGAGAAAATTGTTATTATAACAAAAAAATAAGGAGAAAATTGTTACAATCGTATTCTCATATTCAACCTAGACAAATCTTACAGGTTAATTAGATGGAAATCAGCACCGTTTAAGGGCTCAAGTTTGACCCATCCTAGCCTTGTCACTATGCGAGCTACGTTGACATCAACCTGAAATAAGCATGGAGTCAGCATTCGCGCTTGACCGTATTTTCTACAGAATGACAAAGTATAACTTACTGGAAATGCTCTATGCCTCAATGACAAAAGGCAAAGGCAGTCAACACTTTTCACTCCAAACCCATGTATACTGAGCAGAATTTTTCTAGTGCCAAGAAAAATAAAAAGAATAAGTAAATTTTGCGAGATGGAATTCCATTATGCAAGTAGATTGTATATAACTGTGGAAGAGTTTGATTTTCTTGATTCATAACCTGGTAGCAGTTCCCTGCTAAAAATTCCAAGACAATCCTCCGATAGTTCTTATACAGTTTTAGACAACCAATTGTTAAGTTGTACCATGTCCACTAATACTGTTTTCCTAAAAATAATCTAGGTGATAAAAGAAACACTTAACAAAGTTGTTTAATTTTTCACAGGCACAAATACAATAAAAAGGAATATTATTCTTTGAAGATATTTCCTTCAACAACAGCCACCACAAAGAATAGAACAAAATGGTGAAGCAATAGGCAGTAGTATATGTACTATGAGCAAAGCCATACTTGGCTTTTTCAGGTGATATAAATCTAAGCCAATCCAAGTCAAAGCTTCCATCTTGAGCTTTCTGTACATGATCGAGAAATTCCTGTAAAAAGGTAAAAGAATGCTTTTAGCACTTTCATCCCAAGAATAAGAAAGATAAATATGATGACAGGCTAGAAACCCTAGTAAGTGATAAAACTAATATTTCAATCACATTGTTGATAATCTGGTGGTTGTAGAATAGAGAAATACATTTGGTTGTATTGAATAAAGAGTCCACTGTAGATGATACAAGATGTGTCAGTCATTTTCATTAAAAAGATACTAGTACGTCCATTCCCATACTTATAAAATGCCAAGCATCAAAATGTAATATGCCTTCCAGCATTAAGTATTGTAAGTATATGCCAATTAGAATGCATAGATTAACATCAAATTTTGCAGCGACCAGCAAACTCATAACAATGCTCTATAACACTTGAACAGCCTATCAGGGAGACTAGAGTTCTCACATTTTCTTCCTATAAGAGTTCATTTACCTGCTTCAGTTGGCATAAAAAATCATAACATATGGATGAAGCATATGTTTTGATGAAATAAATAATTTAATTTAAGCAAATAAATGTGTACAGTATTAATAAAAACAGCCAACAATAAAAAAATCTCAGAAAATATTTGTGCACGGTGACTCTCCTGGGAAAGAACAGAACAAAAAACAAAAGACTGATATTTAATCTTGAGGTTTAGATTATAATATTATCTCTAATACCACAACAGGCATGTGATGCACAAAACTCATTCCACTAAATACACATGTAAAAGAAACAACTCCATCTGAAGAAAGTTTCCCGTCTACAGAAATTTTGGATACAATTTTAGAAATTTATTCTTGCAACAAAAATGTTGGATATAACTTTATAAATATAATTTCGCTACAATTTTTTTAATACGATTACAAATGTTGAACATTAACTTTTTCAAAGATGAGTGCATTCATTACTTGGGGTAAGATAGTTATAAATATAGTGATGCCACAAAAAACTTGGACAAAATATTAGAAATAAGTAGATGGCAGTTTTTGTCTTGCAATAACATACCCGTATCCGCACACACAAAATGTTATGCTGCCCCCTGATTGCAATGCATTTTGCGACCTCAGAAAATGGCGCATTTAGAACTGATTCCCAATCTACAACATCACTTGTTTCAGTTCGACTTTTGTCATTGTATCCCTTTTTATATGCTTCCTCCCGTAACTCTTTCCAATTAGATGCTGTGTCTGGTTGTTGTAGTGAAGCTAAGATCCTTTTCAAGTTTTTTTCAGTGCATACTGGATTTCCTGATTTATCCTTCACTAAGTTCATAAGGTCACTGTCCCAAGTAGAAATGTTTTTCTGCTTCATACTAGCAGCGAAATTCCCTATAAGTCTATTGTAGTCTTCATCTTCACCATAATGCCCTTTCACCTCTGTATCATAGTCAACTTCTTCCTCAAAATCAATGTATCCATCAAAATGTGAATCGACGAAGTCAAACGTATCCAATGCTTCATTTGAGTTCACGTTTTTATCATCACCATCTACTAATGGAGTTGCATTAGCTTTATAGTGTCTCTTCTTTGGAGAAAACTTTGCCGCTAGGTTCATAAAAGCTTGGCTGTTTTCCATGGATAAGGAACGAAAAATGTAGGAAAGTGGAAAAAGAGGAAATTAGTTCGGGTATAAAACATACGAACATTCTAAAATCATATTTATGGATCCTCATTTTACCTTGATAAATTATCAGCAGAATTCTGTGTAAGGAAAGTACCAACCACAGAATCAATTAGGGATCCTCCCCACTGAGAATATTTTCTAGGCCCTGATGAAAGCAATTAAGAAATTAGAAACCATTTCATACTCATGTATCCCATAGAGACAGTAGGTTGTATGGCTTACTGATCCGATACAACTAACTACTGTAGAAGCAAGACATGATTTTTGTTCTTAAAAATGTGACACTGTTGACAGCCATGCAACAGGTGTTTGCTTCTCCATAGGTCTTCCCAATGTCTATGTTTGAATAACTGATGTTTGCTCAGAAAAAAAAAAACTCATGCACACATCATTGGATCTTTGGTCACAATTTAGAAGCTAACATACATTTAAAAGAAGTGTACAATCTAAAAGAAGGAAAGGGAAATAGAGGAGTGGCATCTCAGTGAATAACTTCAACAAATGAAGTTAATGTCTCACTGGAAGAACTATTTCTTGATCTAAGGCAACAAATTATCTACAAGATTTTTTTTTATTTTGTTCTGCGAAATATGAAATTGACTTAACTCTGAATTTCATTTTATCAGTTCACAATGCTTAGATTTTTGTCAAGAAATCATTTTTCCTGTTGACTCCACAAGATATTTTACAATCTAGCTTTTTGACACAAATGGAGAAAAACTAAGGTTATGGAGTGACCTGCAATAGTGCAAGATTTCCTGAGCTTTTTAGACAAGTTAGATTAGATTAGAAGGCATTTTTTTGTGCTGTCACTTTTTATTAAAGGTAATGTGATCCTCTTTCTTGCATTTTGCATTTTGACACAAGAAAGCATAAAAAGGGCCAGAATAATTACCAATTAGGGCAAACATTTCAGCAATGAATATATCCACATAATGTTCAAACGTGCGCCGTGTTGTATCCCATTCAGGTCCGCTGCCGATATCAAACCCTTCAAAACTCTCACTGTTGCTCCTATCCCACTCTGTCAGAACAGCAAACACCCTCAATGTTTCATCAGTAAGGCCCAAAACCTTAGCTTGCGGTTTCCCATGATTTCGAGGGCGTGGGATATCAAGTTCTGTTGAATACCAAAGTGGCTCAAGTGCAAAGGATGCCGCAACAGTTGGAGTCCTCTGGTAAGGCAAAAGTGCCAGCTGACCACTTTCCTTGTGTCCTACCATCAGTTTCCTCTTCTTCCCTCTCTTGCTCCTCTTGCGCGTAGTCGGTTCACTGTTTAAACCATGAATCTTGGCAAGGGACATCAAGTTACCCATCAGCTCGGCTCTGCTGAAACATGTTTTACTTTCTGATGAATCCAAATCCAACTTGCGCCTTGCACTATTAGACCTGGCAGCACTAACACGTTGATTACCATCCTCTGGCATTTTCTTCTTATTCTTCTTTACTGTACTGGGCGTGGTCACCTTGGGCTTCATCACTTTATCTTTGGCCACTTTGAGCCGCTGAACCCCCTTGGTCGACTTCTTCCCCCAGCTCCGAGATGTGGGCCCCACCTTCTCCGGAGTAGGAGTATGGGCAGGAGAAGCAGCACCTGCATCGCTGCCACTAGCAACACCTTCTTCCTGGTGCTGCTGCTGCTCTTGCTGTGCAAGATTGCCAGAGGACTCGCCCACCAGTGGAGGCAAGGTGCTGGACTCCTGCGTGCCCACCGGATCACAGCACACTTGGCCCAAATCCTCCGGCATGGCGGACTGAGAATGTTCCTGGGCATGCGACGGCACCGAGGCCAGGCAGTCGCTGTCCAGCTTTCTGGGGCCAGCAGCCGCGCTGGTGTACAGAGCAGTGCAGCAAGAGCCATCTGCGGCGGCTGTCCCGGACGCCCGCGTTGGCTTGCGGATAATGTCGGGTGTCGCCGGCGATGTCCCCACCTGACGCCCTGATCCAGAAAAAAAAAATCCATAAGCTACGGGCAGTGTTATTATACTTAAAAACTAAACGGTTAACGGTCGGTCACTTGTCGTTAAACCATCGTAGCCGCTTAAGTGGCAAAATAAACTTTTAATAAAAGGGATATATGGTCAATTAAAGGGAAAAAACTACTAATAAAAGAGTAAACGGTCGATTAAACAGAAATCACGTACTAACGGTCCCTAGACGGACTAAACCGTAGACGGCAGTCACACGGAACGCTGCGGCGTTCCCCGTTCCCGGAACTTTCGTTCCGGATCGCGGAACGGGGACGGCGCGGTACGGTCGCAGGAACGTGCCTGAGTCGCGAAATGGGACGGCGTACCAAAAGAACCGGATCAAGAGAAGGAGAGAAGGGGACGGCATACCAGCAGCACCGTCGGATGGCGGCGGCGGTGCTGGGGTCAAGCGGCGCGGCGTCGCAGCATCGCAGCGTCGAACGGCGGCGGCGCTGGGACCTGGGAGCGATGCTTCGACTAATGGAGCGAGCAAGCGAGCACTTCACACCCAACGTAAATGGGCCTCCAACCCAGTGTGAAGTAATGGCAGCAAAAAGTTCTAAAAATCATGGGAAAATGGCAAATAAAAATAATCAGGTGAAATGACAAAAATTAAGATCCTCGATCCATAGCTACGTTCCGGGTACTGTCCCAATTATCAAGCCATCGTGATCCTATCTACGAAACCAAACATCCCGAAGAGGTATATCCTTATAAACCGGGAACTTAAAATTAGCGACCCGGCAACTTTTGTGACTGAGACGTGAGACGGACTAAACGATCGATGGAACAGTCGAGCTTCTAGACGGACTAAACGGTCCATTAAACAAAAACGACATACTAACGGTCCTCAGACGGAACAGTCGAGTAGCTACAGGAATCACACACTTGGCGAGGAAAAAAAACGCGATTTTTCTCCGTCTCGGCTAAATGGCTACTCTCCCCGACTCCGTTACCGCAGACACCGCAGATTGACCGGCAAATACTCAAATTTTATAAGACTTTTAAAGATACATTGCTTTGCTTTTACTACGTATGCATATCAAAAGTACATACATTGCTTTTTACTATGTATGCATATCTAAATATATAGCACCAAAACGAGAAATCCAATTCCAAGTGAGCGAAAAAGTGCAAGAGCATAAAAAACAACGGATGCGAAAGAGAAAGCGGGCCTTTTTTTTTACTATGTATACTCCAGACACTAGTAGATTCACTAAGCAACGAAGCCATTAGCGGATTGCAGCAACAAACCAACAAGCGCAGCAGCATGGGCAACCACAGATTAAACCAGCAAAGCGAGAGCCAGAGGGAATAACAGAAGCGAGCACAGCGGACTCACCAAGATCTGCCGCCGACTCTGCCTCTGCCTCCGCCACTGCAGGCGCCATGGCAGCAGCGCCCGCGCGGGGAGCGAGTCCGCCGGGCACTGCTGGGCCATGGAGACGAAGTCGACGAGAATAGAAGAAGGGCGCGGACTTGGAGTCCATTCCACGACCCCGCTCCGCCCTGGCGTTGTTGTTGATCCCGTGTTGCGGACGGCCAGAGTAAAGAGGGGGGGGGGGGGGGGGGGCTCGAACCGCTCCGTCCTTCAGAACTCACAAGGGAAGTTGCGAGGGAGGGGCGCTGCGGTTGTTCGTCCCGGCGGCGGAGGAGGGGACAACCGGCGAGGCCGTGCCCCTGACTGGTGGGGACCGCGCGCAGTGGTGTGTTCCTTCCGTTGGACTCGCGCCGGTTCGGTTGCGGCCTTCCACTTGGGCTTCAGCTCTCAGTCACAGCGCTATCGAGGATCTCATTTGGGCCGTGGCCCACGCGGCTCTCTCCTGTGAAACACGGCCTAGGCCTTTGAGGGCAATCCAATTGTTAGCTCGAGTTGGGTGGCTTTCTTCAGAGCGGCTCATGACAGTCCAGTCCATGTATCCATGCCAATTGCCAAATCCCAAAGGCTCGTCGCATCTGGTCGAGTAAACAAACACCGCTCCCCTCAAAAACAAAAAAAACAAAAAGAGTAAACAAACACCTTGGCTTTGTATTGCGCCTTTTTAGATTCAGAAGAAGTAATTAGATACCGAGTCACATTGGATTTTACCAAATTTGACTGAAAGACAGAATTTGAGTTAAGTATCTTTTTGTTAGCACATGCTGAAAAATTATAATTGTACTAATTAAGGTAGCATAACGATAAGGTAGCATAACGATAATGATATTCTGAACAAGGCAAGATCTTCAAAAGTGTGCAACAGTGCAAAACAACACGTTCAACTGACACAACTGTCCACCCATGGAAATTTAGAATATCTCTGCCACACAACACCATGCCAAATTTCTAAAATTGGCTAACAAATCGGTGTTGCGGATGTGCTCGCCGTCGACGGAGGGGAGGGGGCTGTGAAATGGAGGGAGGCGGCGCTCGGGAATGAGCTGGAGAAGAAGGATCGCTACCGCTATGAGGAAGGAACGGCAGGTGAGATGGTTCGTCGAGCTGGCGTCGTCCCACACGAGCGAAGGAGGAGCAGCGACCTGTGCAGAGGCTTGGTTTGACAGCCTGATGAAATTGCTGCTCAGGATCCGACGACGTCGAGCTTTGGAGGTGAGCCACGTGGCCAAGTAGAATGCGAGATACTATGGGGCAAGTTTCATCTCGTAGAAGATGCCAATTGCCAAATCCGAAAGGCTTGTGGCACCTGGTCTGGTCGAGTAAACAAACACCGCTCCCCTCAAAAAAAGAAAGAGAGTAGAAAGAGAGTAAACAAACACCGTGGCTATGAGAAATAATTAGATACCGAGTCACATTGCATTTTACCAAATTTGACTGAAAGACAGAATTTGGGTTGAGTAATATCTTTTTGTTAGCACATGCTGAAAAATTGTAATTGTACTAACGATAATGATATTCTGAACAAGGCAAGGTCTTCAAAAGTGTACAACAGTGCAAGACAACACGTTCAACTGTCCATCCATATCTCTGCCACACAGCACCATGCCAAATTTCTGAAATTGGCTAAGAAATCGGTGTTGCGGATGTGCTGCAGAGTACATCTGTTCTAACAAATTTGATTTGAGGAGGTTTTCTCATTGCCAATGTCTCATCAGCTGTTTGTGTGTTTTTGCACATCGTAGATTGGCATACGGACGGAGATCAATCAACAAGCAAGCAAATCATAGCAAAATTATTTAATCCTAAAAGCAAACACGAGATCTTAACATGACTTCTTAGAAAATGACATCTGCAGTCCATACTAAGAACGGCACAAGATCGACACCGCTTGAACTAAACCGAGACACAAATCATCACGAGCGCCAGCATGGGGACATGCTGGTTCTGAAGATGGTGTTATGAACGACGTATAGGAATATGAAGTAAAGAATCAAAACCACAGAGGAGACACACGATTTAACGTGGAAAACCCCTCCGATGTGAAGGGGAAAAACCACGGGCACCAGCCAGCAACAATCTCACTATCTCAAGAGTTTTGGGTTACACGCCTATGGCGGCTTACAAGAGAATCAAGTCTCCACGAAACCCTAGCAGCGGAGCCGCAGCGCTCCGGCCCAAGCCTCCGGCGACGGGCCTCCGCTTCGCTCCGTCAGAAGCCTGGCCTATATCCTGGAGTGAATTTGGAACAACTCCAACAGATGGGGGGAATGTCAGCAACCTGCCTCCGCCCGTGCCACTGACAGGTGAAGATGGCGTGCCTCGGACTGAAGAGGAAGCTGCACTAGACGTCCGGCTCAAGAGGTTGCGTCGGCCCAGTACAAGATTCGTCGGCCCAATGTGGCAAGCATGAATCCATGTAATAAGTAGAAGCATGGGAGAGGAAGTCGGACAGGAAGGAAAACAGAAAACCTAAATTCTGCTTGAGTAACCCGGCCATCGCGCCGTTAGCTGCCCTGTTCTTGTGTTCTTCTTTTTCCTAGCAATTCCTCCTTACAATTGGTATCAGATTCTTGTTCGAGTCCTGGCCTCCGATCCTCCTCACCTCCACTTTACTCGTCTGCAATGCTCTCTGGGAGCCATGGACCCGAGTCTCAAGTTGGTTCTGGAGGAGATCCAGAAGTCCAAGGAGGAGTTCGGGCGTCGTTTTGATGACCACAACGAGCAATGGGAGCGGCGATTCGCTAATCTCGAGCTTGCCCGCTCCACCCGCGACGCCACCATTGACAAACGCCTCGACTCCGTCGAGTTCGCAGGCGCCGACATGGCGTACACCATCGGCAGGCGTGTCGCCGATTTGGAGGCCATCCGCGTCGACCCCACCAACGACGAGCGCGACGACCGCGTCACCGCCCTCGAGGTAGCCGCCACGGACCTTGGCACTTGGCGCCCGGAGATGGAGGCGCTCGTCGACGACCTGCGAATCGAGATACAGAAGCTGACCCAAGGTCGCGACTCGAAGGTGTTCGACGTTTTGCCTCAATGGCCCGTCTTCGCCTCTTCTTCATCTGCGCCCAGTGGGCACGGCGATGCATCATCTCACCGGGATGGTGGGTTCGGGACCGGGGCGGTCTGGACTCACGTCCCGGTCATGGGTAAGCAATCCGAACCTCCAACTCCACCCCCTCCTCCTTCCCTTAATCCACGCTCGACACCTCCGCTTCCGCACCGGCCACCAGCTCCACCGTACCCTTCTCCACACCTTCCTCCACATCCGTACCCCTCTCCGCATCCACCGCGTCCCCCTCCGCTCTACATACCTCCTCGTCCACCACTTTTGACTCCTTGCCACCCAACTCCTCATGACACCCATGACCTGCAACACCCAACTGGACGCCTCCCTAAACTTCCATTTTCTAAGTTCGATGGCGAAAACCCACACCTCTGGCGCTCCCGCTGCGAACGCTACTTCACCATGTACGCCGTAGATCCCTCCCTTTGGGTTAGCGTCGCCACCATGTATGTGGAAGGCGGCGCTGCAGGCTGGTACGAATCCATCGAAAACACTCCAGCTACTGCCAATTGGACATCCTTCTGTCAAGCCTTGCACGATCGATTTGGTCGCGATCAGAAGGAAGCCTTAATTCGCCAATTGTTCCACATCAAACAAACTTCCACGGTGTTGGATTATGTCGAGCGTTTCTCCGTCTTAATCGATCGCCTTAAATCCTATTCTACTTCTACTGATCCACTGTTTTATACCATGAGATTTATCAATGGCCTTCGGCCTGACCTCAAAGCTATGATCCTGGTTTCTAGGCCACAAACATTCGATGCTGCTATTTTCATGGCTCTTGTGCAGGAGGAGGTGGCGGGCCAATCAGGCGCCCAAACTTCGTTCCGTTCGTCGGCACCGGCTGAGTGGTCTCATAAACCCACACCACGGACCGCGCTGCTGCTACCACCACCTCTGCCTCGTGTCGAGAAGCCCATGGCGAAGCCTGCAGCTGCCGAGCCACCGGCAACATCTTCAGCAACTGGTGCTCTGGCTGCTGTTAAAAGCATATCGTCGAGCCTTGGGATTATGCTACAAGTGCAACGCCAAGTGGAGTAAGGATCACCGGTGCTCACCAGAGGTCTTGCATGCGGTCGAAGCTCTTTGGGAATCACTGGATCCGGATGTTGTGCCGGCTGCAGAAACATCTGATGATCAACCAACTGAACAAGTGTTTCTAGCCATCTCCAAGTCAGCTGTGTCTGGGGTACCTGCTGCTCATACTATCCGACTGTTGGGAACCATGTCAGGTCTTCCAGTGCATATTCTGGTGGATTCAGGGAGCTCCTCTTCGTTTATCAGTGACACTACGGCTGTTCAGTTAAATCACCTTGATTCAGTATCTATCTCTAGTTGTGTGCAAGTTGCTGGTGGAGGTGTCTTACAGAGTTCCTTGCTGCTTCGCCAAGTTCAGTGGACAGTGGGCTCCTGCTCCTTTCGCACTGACTTCCAGGTGCTACCTTTGGGTAACTTCGATGCCATTCTGAGCATGGATTGGCTAGAGTCCTATAGCCCAATGCAAGTTCACTGGGCCTTGAAGTGGTTGGCAATTCCATATGATGGCCAGACTCGGGTATTGCAAGGTATACTTCCTGATGAATCAGACCAGTTGCTGTTGCAAATTGAACATACAGAGCCTGTTTTTTCTTCAGATCATGATGCCACCACTGTTCCAGCTCCAATTAGTCAGTTAATTGAAGAGTTTTCTAATTTGTTCCAGCCACCAACATCTCTTCCTCCTTCTCGCGCTTGTAACCATGAGATTCCTCCGTTACTTGGTGCTCAACCTGTTTTCATTCGGCCCTATAGATACCCGCCTAAATTGAAGGATGAAATTGGAGCCCAGGTTCAGGAGATGTTGTCACAAGGACTCATTTAGCCGAGCTCTAGCTCCTTCTCCTCGCCGGTACTGCTGGTCAAAAAGAAGGATGGCTCCTACCGCTTTTGTGTTGACTTCAGACATCTCAATGCCCTGACAAGGAAATATAAGTTTCCTGTGCCAGTGTTTGACTAGTTGATGGATGAGCTAGCACATGCTAAGTGGTTCTCAACATTGGATCTTCGAGCAGGTTTTCACCAAATCCTGTTGCAGCCAAGTGAAGAATTCAAGACCATTTTCCAGACTCACCTGGATCAGTACGAGTTCAGAGTGATGGCATTCGGCCTTACCGGTGCACCAGGTACATTTTAGGGTGAGATGAATGGTACTTTGGCTCCGGGTTTGCGCCGCTTTGTGTTGGTTTTCTTCGATGATATCCTCATCTACAGCCCCACTTTTGAAGCTCATGTCGACCATCTGCGCCAAGTTTTTCAGTGGTTACGCGCTGATCAGTGGAAGCTCAAGCTCTCAAAATGTACCTTCGCTAGGGAGTCCATCTCCTACTTGGGTCATATCATCAGCAGCCAAGGCATTTCCACGGACCCAACAAAGGTGCAAGCGATGCTCGAATGGCCCGTTCCATCTTCAGTTCGGGAGCTCCACGGTTTTCTGGGCCTTGCCGGCTATTACCGGAAGTTTCTGCGTCATTTCAGCATTATCGCCAAGCCTCTAACCAATCTCCTGAAGAAAGATCAGTTGTTCATTTGGACCTCAACCCATGAGTCTGTCTTTTTAGTCCTGAAACAGGCTCTCTGTACTGCCCCTATCTTGGCGTTGCCGGATTTCAGCTTACCCTTCCACATCGAAACTGATGCTTTGGGTACAGGGATTGGAGCAGTCTTACAGCAGAATGGGCACCCCATAGCATTCATCAGCAAGGTTCTTAGTCCCCAGAATCAAGGGTTGTCCGTCTATGAGAAGGAATATCTTGCTATCTTGATGGCTGTCGAATAGTGGCGTCACTACTTGCTTCAGGGCGAGTTCTTCATTCACACTGATCATCGCAGCTTAGTTCATCTTAATGAACAGAGGCTACATACTGCTTGGCAACAAAAGGTCTTCTCCAAATTGCTTGGGTTACAGTATACGATTATGTACAAGAAAGTCTCGGAGAACAGCACGGCAGATGCCTTATCCCGCCGCGTGCACCCAAACCAGAGCTATGCTATCTCTTCGGTCTCCAACAATTGGCTTGATGAAGTGGTACAGGGATACTACTCTGATCCAGCTGCTCTGAATCTGTTATCTCAGTGCTAGCCCAGATAGCCACCCTCCATTCTCTTTGGTCCAAGGAGTCATCAGATACAAGAACCGTCTGTGGCTCGGTTCCAATAAGCCCATGCAACTTAAAATCATGACAGCACTGCATAGCAGTCCTTTGGGTGGACACTCAGGAGCCCCAGCGACATACAGTAAAATTAAAGCTTTGTGTTTTCTGGCCTGGTATGAAATCAGACATTTAGGCTTATGTTCAGTCATGTGCTGTGTGTTTGCAAGCTAAGCCAGACAGATCTCGCTACCCAGGCCTCTTGCAGCCCCTTCCAGCGCCGTCTGTCTCCTGGGAAGTGATCTCAATGGATTTCATCGAAGGGTTGCCACAGTCTGGTTCCTTCAATGCCATCTGGGTAGTGGTGGATAAATTCTCCAAGTTTGCACACTTTATTCCCCTGCATCATCTTTTTACAGCAGCCTCTGTTGCAAAAAATTTCATGGACCAAGTGTATCGCCTTCACGGTCTTCCTCGAGCCATTGTCTCAGACCGCGACCGCATCTTTACAAGCAACTTTTGGAAATATCTCTTCAAGGCAGCCGGTTCCAAGCTTCAGTTCAGCTCCGCCTACCATCCTCAGACGGACGGCTAGACAGAGCGTGTCAACTAGTGTGTCGAAACATTTCTTCGCTGCTTTGTGCACACTTGCCCAGCTTAGTGGAGTCATTGGCTGTCACTCGCTGAATTCTGGTATAACACGTCCACCCATTCAGCACTGGGTCGTTCCTCCTTTGAGGTCTTATATGGTTTTCCTCCACGCCTGTTGTCGGTCAACTTGGATGAGGTGGCTCCAGTGCCTGAACTTCACAAATGGATGGCTGATCGAGAACTCATGCATAATGTTGTCAAGCAACACTTGCTCCGTGCCCAGGCTCGCATGAAGCGCCAAGCTGATAAAGGCCGTTCTGAGCGTCACTTCTCTGTGGGCGACATGGTGTTCTTTAAGCTTCAACCTTATATTCAGTCATCACTGTTTCACCGCTATAACAACAAATTATCCTTCAAGTTTTTTGGGCCGTTTCAAGTTATTCAAAAGATTGGCTCCGTTGCATACAAGCTGCAACTTCCACCAGGCGCTGCTGTCCATCCGGTCTTCCACGTATCGCAGCTGCGTTCTTCTCCTGGCAAGCAACAGGTTTCCCCTTCTCTACCTTCTAATTTGCAGCAGTATCAGTTTCCAGTTCGGGTGCTGCAACGCCGCTGGACATCTGGATCTCGGCCGATGGCACAAGGCCTGATCCAGTGGTCTCATTCACCTCCGGAGCTGTCTACTTGGGAGCTGCTCGAGCAACTTCGCCAACAGTTTCCACGAGCGCCAGCATGGGGACATGCTGGTTCTGAAGATGGGGGGAATGTCAGCAACCTGCCTCCGCCCGTGCCACTGACAGGTGAAGATGGCGTGCCTGGGACTAAAGAGGAAGCTGCACTGGACGTTCGGCCCAAGAGGTTGCGTCGGCCCAGTACAAGATTCGCCGGCCCAATGTGGTAAGCATGAATCCATATAATAAGTAGAAGCATGGGAGAGGAAGTCGGACAGGAAGGAAATCAGAAAACCTAAATTCTACTTGAGTAACCCGGCCATCGCGCCGTTAGCTTGTGTTCTTTTTCCTAGCAATTCCTCCTTACACAAAGCATCCGATCGAAAGACAACTAAAACAAACTAAACTCGATGGGATCGAAACTGATGAGACGACAGGCGGCGCGGGCGCAGCGGCGGTCAGAACTCAGAAGCCGTGGACCTTGACGTTGGCCTTGCTGGCCATGCCGGCCTTGACGAGGAAGGCGACGACGGCCTTGCGGTGGTCGCCCTGCAGCTGGATGACGCTGCCGAGCTCCTCGTCCTCCACGACGACCCCGCTGCAGCAGAGCTCCCGCTTGAGGTCCCAGAGGATCCGGGCGTAGTTGTAGGCGGCGCTGAGCCCCTGCACCGTGGTCAGCCTCTTCTTCCCGTTGCGCTGCTGCACGCGGAGGTGCACCACGTCGTCCTTGGGTGCCGCGACGCCGCCCCGATGTCCTCGTCGGCGTCCGCGAAGGGGTCGAACGGCGCGAACAGGCCGCCGCCGCCGAGCCGGGCATGAACTGGTCGTCCTCCTCGCCCTCGCGGCCGCGTGGGGCGTCGGTCGCGTGAGCCGTAAATGTAAATAATATTTACTAAAATTTGGTTAAACCTAAACTATTTTGCTGGCACGCAACATGTACTGTATACAGAGGGAGTACTATCCATGTGTAATGTAACTGCAATTACGAACAGCCGAGTGAATGATCATGCAAGTAGGATGACGATGAACTATCATTTTGGCCTGTTCGCTTACGTATACGATCATGGATTATAAGCTGGAACAGTATTTTTCTCTCACACCAAACCAGCCAGTAGTAAATAATTCACGATCGTTTACGGCCTGCCGAACAGGCTGAAGAACTCGCAACCTCAGATATTGACCTGCGTATCAATATGATATATTTTTATGGGCTTTTGGGCGTTCGTCCGTCCAGACAGACCCGCACTCACCCCGCCCATGTTGCTGCTCCCTCTGCTCGCGGGACAGACATTGTCCTCACCTGCGCTGCCCCGCTCGCGCCCACGCCGCACATGTCACGGCGAGGCCGATCCGCTAGGCGCTCACTAGCTCGCTCCCGGACTCGCGCCTCCAGTCGCGGACGTGCTCCATCTGCCTTCCCCTGTGCCGAGGTCTGTGCCACCGACGAGCTCCACACCGGCAACCTCCACGCCACTCCGTGGCTTCGAGCTCCGTGTCGACGAGCCTCCATTCGTCCAACCAGCAAACAGATGTTACGCTGAAAGCGCATGTTGTAATAGTATGTTTCAAGCGTTTCAGATGTTTTCGAGGTATGTTGCAAGTGTTGTACATCGATGTTGCGAAAGTAAATCGGGATGTTGCGCATGTTGTAATGGCTATACACGTATGTTTCAAGTGTATGTTTCATCTGGTCCAGACGAATATTGCAAGTGTTTTTTCTGGATGTTGCAAAAAGTAGATCTAGATATTGCATATACATATTGCAATCATATGTTTCAAGTGTTTTCAAGTGTTTGATACGTATGTTGACAAATGTTTCATCTGGATGTTGCATACGTTTGCAATGATTTTTAAATATTTTTCAGACGTTTTCACAAATGTTTCAGACATTGTCTTCTTTTATATGTTACAATTGTTGCATCTGGATGTTTTAAAAGTAGATCAGGTGTTGTACATGGGATGCGCGTGGGAAACAGCCGGCGACGCGGATGACGTTCGGGGCGACGTCCGAGGCGGCGCGGGACCACTACTGGTGCGCTCCCTCGCAACTCAACACGCTATCGCTCCCTGTGCGGGCAGCGTCCGAACGCTAGCACCCGGATCAGACGAACGCTAGCACCCGGATCAGACGTCCGGACGCTAGCTAGTCTGTTTTTTTAGATTGTTTAGAGACTGAAATATCCATTCAAGTACAAACATGGAAATACTTGTGTCCATCTCACTATCAAAGGATCAAACAAAGTAATATACTAATATGTCATTGAAATATATCGTTGGGGACAAGTAGTTGTCAACTTGTCACAGGAAAAAGGAGAAAGAAAGTTCATTTTACAGTCCTTGGACGTGCGACGGTGGCGCCATCGGCGTTGCTACCTTCCTGAAGGCGTCGCGTTTGGATTTCGTCGTGGCCTCGATGTCTCCTCGGTGATTGTTCTTCGCTTCTTGGTGCCTCGATGACGCGTGGAGGCGGGTCTTGCTGCGAGAAGTCGGGCTAAGCTGCGTCGAGGGGCGTGGCTCGAACGATGACACGCAGCCGAGCCCCCACCTTCATCGTGGGCTGGGGTCTCTAGGGGTCGGCAAGCGCTACTGGAGGCGAGGCGGCGTGTGGACGTGATCGAAGTCGGAGCTGCTCTTTGAGGGTGCTTGAGCTTGGCAACGATGACCGGTTGCGGCATGCTTGCTTGCTTCGTTCAAGCAGGGTGGCTTGTGTGTGGACTGCCATGAGAAGTCGGAGCTGCTGGCGTCTTCAACCATGCTCGGCAACGATGACCCATGGTAGTGTGCTGTGTTAGTGCTCAGCTGCGTCGTGTGGGTTGGTTAGCCTATCGGGTGCGCTTTTTGGCATCCCGTTGCCTAGCCCTCTTGTACATAAATTATTTCTGTCTTAATTGAGCGGCAGAGCTCCTGCCTTTGTTTAAAAAAAACCTTTTAACTATTCAGTTCTCAGCTATAAAATCGTTTATTACTTTTCAATCTTAGCACAAATTTGGAGTGGTTTAATCCAGTGAAATGATTCATATTAAAAAAAAGCTTCACCGTCAACGAGAGCTCCCTTTACTCTGCAGTTGGATGCTGGGCCTGACAAGGATTTGTCCAGAGCAGAAACACAATTTGAATATAGATCAGAAACATTCAGCTTTGGACAACAGATGTCAACCATGTGACTCAATCATCAGTATCGAGCACAGCAAAAAAGAACACAAGTAAAAACCTGTGTACAAAGTTACAGCTGTAAGAAAGAATGCTTGTGACTTTTGACAGAAGGGTATAGTACTTGATACATACAATACAGAATATGTCAAACTCTCTTATATGTTTACATGGTTTGCACATAACAAAATTGCCTGTAAGTTTAAAATACAAGTGCGGGGAAAAGCTAAGGTACGACACTGAGGTGATCCTCTTGGCAAAATGAAGATCACATAAAACAATGGCAAGTGGCAACATTGCTATTACTGTAGCTGTGCCGAGTCACTGAAGAGCAGATAGTAGGCTACTCCTAAAGCTCTACCTCCATTCCAGAGAAACGAATCTGAACAAATGAAGGGCAATGAAGTAATCTGATCTAATATGTTACAATGCAAAATTTTCCCTATTGTCTGAGGGCCTTCAAAGTAATAGTTGTGTCTTGTACTGACCTTCTGAAATATTTTCTTTTCAGTCTCACCTTCTGGATTCTGATAACAGTAATAATCTTCAAAATAGCGTATCTCCTCAGCTAGCCATTACGGTTAACTGATGGCTTCTTCCAGAACAGTCTTTTGCACTCTAGAAATTTCATTCACAAATAAAATTATTTTGGTGTCTGATCTATACAGTTCCTGTATCTAACCAGGCAGTCAACTTTATGACATATGGTCTCATCGAACAGGCGGTGCTAAGCCATGTGTCTTCATCATGCAATGGTATTTCAGGGGCACTACTGCACCCACTTGCATGCAGAGCTCAATGACAGCAGGCGCATGCCCATAATAATCCCTCCCGCCGTCCACAAGGATCGGTGGGTCATGAGGCCGCCGATGCCACACAATCTTCTGAGGAACTAGGTCATCCACTCCGGCCTTGTCCCACTTGTGCATCCCTTTCCAGCCCTCAAACTTGAATACCCCACACATTCTGGCCTTGTGCCCTGACTGTCCGATATGCACTTCAGAGCAATGCTTACAAACTTTGGATGGATACACCAAGAGGAGTTTTGTGACACCTAATCTCAGGCTTTCCCATGCATCTAGTGTTCTCTGACCGATATATCTGAGTTCATCTGGCAAGATTGGAGCAGGTTGCTGATTGTTGGTTTTGAGTGTGGTAGATATTCGTTCACTTTTGTATAGAATCTCATCAGGTATGTCTGCACCTGCATGATGGCAGAGCTCAAGTACAGCTGGGACACAAGTGAAGTCAAACCGCTGGTCATGCTTTATCTCATTCTCAAACATGTTTTTCTGGTGGAAAGCCTGAACAGGAACAAGGATGTCATTCAAGTTGCCTGGATCCCATTCATGTGGTCGGTCCTTGATCATTAGCTTGAAACCATAGCATGTTTTCATCTGATGACCCGTGGCTCCAATGTGAACTTCAGGACAGAATCTTCAGTCCAAATCAATACAGAAGGTGTTAAACAGACTCATAAAATGCAGAAATATTCAGGGCAAAATCAATAAACTGTAATCAGGCATAAATATCACAGAGAACACTTAGCTTGGCATCACAAGAATTGGATTGTGTTTATAAAAACCTAAAATGGTAAAGATACACAAGAAAAACAGTAACCTATCCATTCATAGTATCTCTACTTTATTCTCCATTTCTTCAATCCTTTTGATACTTGCCTAATTCAAGATGCTATAGTTTTTTTTTTTTAAATACTTCCAGCAAATCATCAATAACAAGTACTATATGTAATACTGCCATACTGGGTTTACTATCGTTTTACAGTTAGGACAAGAACAGACTAATTTCACATTTATTTTCCTTACTTGCATGACTGAACAAGAACAACTTTGAGCAGTCTGGAGACACCCTCATACACAACCTCCCTTGCCCTGACCACCTCCTCTGCGACCGGAATCATCCGCTTGATTGGGTATTCCTTTGACCGGTTCTTAATCCTCTTAAGAATCATTGGCCGCAGCTGCTTCCAATCCACTCTCGAAGTGGAGTAGCGCCTCTGGTTCAGAGCTGTGCCACACAGCTCCGAGCAGATGTAGCTCCCGGCTCTTCGCCCGAGAGACGCCATTGTAGCACATATACAACAAGCCTACAAGTTCACAATTTGAATAAGCCGGTGAAACCACTTCGCCCCAGAGACGCCATTGTAGCACATACATACAGCAAGCCTACAAGTTCACTATGTGAATAAGCGGGTCAAACAAACACCGAAGAGCATTGGCGTGAGATATGGGTAACCAGCAGATAATGTGATCGAAATTCCTTACTTTAACTGCTGATTCGAACTAAGAAATCCTACTGGATCAGAAGAACTTACTAGTCGGGGAGGTCGATCTGGCGAACCGGGCCCGGCCACGAGACGAGGCCGAGGCCACTCGCCTTATGCCACCTGAAGACGGCTCCTCTTAAGGACGGACACTACTATGCTGCCGGCGCCGCCCGCTCGCCGAAACTGAAACAGGGGGGCATTCCCTCGTCGGCGTCGGAGAGCAGACGGGGAAGCGCCGGCCCCGGAGCGCGACGAGAGTTGGCGTTCGAGAGAAGGAGATGGCGTGCCGCGAGCAGATGGGGCGCGAGCAAGGAGAAGCGGCGACGATGAGAAGGCGGCGGCGCGGCCGCAGGCGGAGCCGCCGTTTGGGAAACGAGGAGGCGCGACGTGGGAGACCGAGTTGGGCTCGGCTAGCTTGGGCGGCGACGATGCGGGGCCGTTCATCAACTCGGGCTGCTGCTATCTCCTGCTTAACCTGGGCCTCAATTGGGCCACAAACCTTCGCAGTTTCAGCCTTTCAGCCCAAAGATGGTGTGCCTGTTCTCTTATTGATTGGTAACGGACGGCTGTGATCTACGATTCTACGTGGCCCGCATCCATTGGTTGTGACACAGGGAGGTAACCTCACCTGATATCTCTTCGCACCGCCTTACCGGGCCTATAAAAGGTGAGCCCAGCACGGGCGCTCATCTTATTGATCGGCATCACCATCTTAACCCGACGAGGAAAGACCTTATCAGACGCTAACCTTCTCATCATCAAGGTATATAAATCTCCCCATTGTCAGTTCTTCGCCGGGGTTAGTGCGGTCGTCGGATCTATATATGGTTCGTTTTAGCCGCCGCGTTAGTATTATGGTTTGTGGGGTTACGTCTGATCCAGGTGGGTTTGTAGGGTTTGTAGTCAAATCATGTTCCAGTTCATTTGATTTGGCAAATTATCTCAAATTAGTTCTGGACTAATTCTGATTTGCCTTTGACTGGGTAAATACTTTTATAGAGAACTGATTACTTACAAGATTTGTATGAGATTGATAAATCCTGTAGAACTCTCTGTCAGTAGTCTGGCTCTTTGGGATTCCTAATTACTGTGATGGGATTATTGTCGGTCTGGCCTTTTGGGATTCCTAATTGTTTGTATGTTTAATATCGTTTATTTATTGAGTTATTAGTTATTTATTTAGTTGTGATGTGTTTATTGTTCATCTGTTAATACTGTACCTATACATGTCATATGTAGAACTCTTTAGTAGAGAAAAGTTTTGTTTGTACATTGGCGGTTTATGAATCTATTGGATGCCGCAATGCAGGAAATTAGTTTCCTCTGCTGTCATCCTACATATTTTTGTTCATAACCCAGGCTTGTTTCTGTAGCATATGTGATCAATAGCTCTATTGTATTAGTTTAGGTGCAGCTTTTGTGGATCGAAGTAATCATTATATCTTTTTTGAAGATATATTGCCCAGGCTACTTATACTAATCTCTCATATGTCAATTCATAGTCTGTATGATTTGAATTCATCATGTTAAATGAGTTAACCACATACATCTCTGTCCATTTCAGATGCAGATCTTCGTGAAGACCCTCATCGGCAAGACTATAACCTTGGAGGTCGAGTCCTCTGACACTATCGATAATGTCAAGGCGAAGATCCAGGACAAGGAGGGCATCCCTCCGGACCAGCAGCGCCTCATCTTCGCAGGGAAACGGCTCGATCATGGCCGCACCCTTGCTGACTATAACATCCAGAAGGAGTCCACCCTCCACCTTGTCCTCCGCCTCCGTGGCGGCATGCAGATCTTCGTGAAGACCCTCACCGGCAAGAGCATCACCCTGAAGGCCGAGTAAAAAACACCATCGACAACGTCAAGGCTAAGATCTAGGACAAGGAGGGCATCCCTCCTGACCAGCAGCGCCTTATCTTTGCTAGCAAGCAGCTTGAGGATGGCCGCACCCTTGCTGATTATAACATCCAAAAGGAGTCCACCCTCCACCTTGTCCTCCGCCTTCGTGGTGGTCAATGAGCTTTTGCTGCAAGCTTAGAGGCATTTGTGTCATGTTAAGTGTGGTCGAGTTCTAGAATTCCAGTTAAGCTGAATAAGTATACTACTCCCTCCGTTTAAAATTATAATTCGTTTGACTTTTTATCCCAAGTTTGACCGTTCGTCTTATTCAAAAAAATTATGCAAACATAGTCAAATTTAAGTCATTCTTGAAGAACTTTTGTTAATAAAGCAAGCCACAACAAAAGAAGTGATATTTAGCACACATTTTTGAATAAGATGAGTGATCAAATTTGAGGACAAAAAAGTCAAACAAACTATAATTTGGAACGGATTTAGTATATGTCATCGTGTTAGTATCAGTACGTGTGGAGGCCTTGTGAGCCTTTGGGATGGTCTCTTGCTTGAAACAATATTATCAAGTTCTACTTGAATAGCTGGCGATTCTATCTCTTTATTTGTGTTACATGAAACAATATAAGTTCTACTTGAATATCTGGTGATTCTCTATCTTTATTTGTGTTTTATTTTGGATGCTTGATTGACATGTGACATGATTTAGCATTGCTGTTTTGATCATGTTATTTTGCATCAACTTGTGTTCCTGTTGAATTTTTCAGTGTTTCCATAATGTGCAGTGTCTGTAGTATTCATTCAAAAATATGACAAAATGATTGTACTTTTGTTTGTTCTCCACAAAAGCAAACTGTGCCCAAGTGTTTCTCAATCTGGAGAGCATAAGGGGGTGTTTGGTTACTGTTGCTAAAGATTAGTTCCTATCACATCGGATGTTTGACACATGCATGAATTATTAAACATAGACTAATTATGAAACTAATTGCACAGATTAAGACTAATTTACGAGACTAATTTTTTAAGCATAATTAGTCTATGATTTGACAACGTGTTGCTACAGTAAACATGTGCTAATGATGGCTTAATTATGCTTAATTAATTCGTCTCGTGGAGTACTGACGGAATCTGTAATTTGTTTTTTTATTAGTATGCGAATACCCCATACGACACCCCATGTGACATCCGATGTGACACGTCTTAAACTTTAGTCCTGTATCAAACACCCCCTAAAAGCAAACTGAATCCAAAAACTGGGCCCAAGTGGCCAAGATCTTCTCAATCTGAAGAGCTAACAGCAGGGAGAATAATTGCCTCTCCTTTCTTTGCAGTTGTGGATATCTCAGTTTGCTATCATGGTACCACATAGTGTGTTTAATCTAATTTAAATTTAGTTTATGAGATGATTATCAAACTGCTAATTTTTATATCTCAATTTGCTAATATGTTTTTTTGCTCGAACTAGTCAATTTGCTAATATCATGCTACCACATAGCATTTTAATTTAATTTAGTGAGATGATTACCAAACCACCATTTTTTTATATTTTCTAAAGGCACAGTTTGACACCGATACATGCTACCTCACCATGTCACATTTGGAAGATTTAAAAGCCCAAAATGAACTTCAGCATCAAATGTGCTATGTATGCTTGCAATTTCAAGCTGTGTTTTAGGATAACATATTATGGAATCACTTAGTGAGTCCTATGGAAAATGCCACAGAAGGAGCAGCACAGCACAAGAGTGACACTGTCACATGATCAGCGGCTGTCCCATGCGTAGAAGCTGATCCGAGGCTATTCCATGAATAGAACGCACGGTACCGGGATCTTCTGACCATAGGTGTCTTGTTAAGCTCCTTGCTTAAACTTTTTCTCAGAAATAAGGTGGGAACAACCGAACAAGCAGCTGCCTGTGGGGTTAAATGTCGCGGTGTCAAAAAGGCGGCGCCTGGCTCTGCCGCGATAGGATTCCGTCGGACGGTTGTTTCCCGCGCGCCTGCACAGCCTACCTCTTGTCCACTAATTTGCCCTGCCATATATGCATCGCGCTGTCGTCACGTTCGTACGACTCGCTCGCAATCCACCCCGTCCGCCTCGATTCAACCTGCCCCCATCCATTCGCCCCCGCCCCTCAGGCGCACCCTGCCCCATCGTGCCCCCCCGACCGCCGACCCCAGCACGCTGCGCACCACATCCGCCGGCCACCAGCTCGCCGCGCCCCATTCCCCGGCACCCGTGCTGTGCCACCATCACTCCCCCGCACCCTCCTGACTCTCCGAACAACAGGAAACACGTGCAACATGAAACACTTTAATCCAATGTACATCTGAAACAGATAAAACATATGGAACGTACACTTGCAACATATGTGTGAAAACATATGCAACATCCAGATAGAACACTTGCAACTTGCAACATGAAAACACTTGCTGCAACAGAAGAGTGGAACAGATGAAACATTTGGAATATACTGTTGCAACATATGTGTGAAACATATGCAACATCCAGATCAAAATGCTTGCAACATATGCCTGGAACAGATGAAACATTTTGAATAAACTCTTGCAACATGTCTCTGAAACACTTGCAACATCCATATGAAATAATTGCAACATACCTCTGAAACGTCTGAAATACTTGAAACATATATTTGCAACATAGGAGAGGGGGAGTGCATGTGCCGGTCAATTCTGGCTGTCGGGGTGGGAGCCGGCGGCGAGTGGCGGCGCGCGAGCACCACTATCATCCAACACCAGCTGCGCGCGTGAGCACCACCGCCACCAATGCCACCAACACCGAGCTTGGGTCGATCGGGCGGAAGGCGCGCGCGACGGGCGGAGCAAGCACCACCAACACCAGTGCGCACGACGGGAGGGAGTGGGCGGCACGCGCGATGGGGCCCAAGCGAGCGGTGACGGATGGGGTGCGCGGCAACAGCGAGGGGCATGCGGGTCCGCGTCCAGGACGGGGCAACCGCAAGGCGCTACGACAGGGGAGGAGGAAGCGGAAGGGATAAGGATGGGTGATTTTTTTTAATAAACTCACGAAGGCGGGGTAAAAGAGCAAGCAACGAGGCGGTGGGCTTGCGGAAGCGTCCGAGGATTTGCTCGTGTCGAACATAAGACGCGTAGCATTACCGAATATTTAGATATGCAGGAAACAACCAAAAGTGTAATCCTTAGTGGATCTGAACGCTAACTAGGCTGTGATTTTCAAGGAATGAATTGTATTGTATAATGGGTATTTACTATCCATGAAAAACTTTCATGGAACGAGCTTATTATATACCCTAGCTATGTTGAGTAAACATTGTAAGCTACAATAGGTCAACTGCTCAACTGAAGAATTGTGTATGTGGCTTAGGCTTCAAGTCTTAGAACCAAAAGCTATCACGTTTCAGTTACTCAATTAACAGTTGAATGCATACCATGTGCTAGTAACCACCAGAAATACTATTAGTTTTTTTTACTTGGTTTAACTGTAAATTAGCTGCGTACTCTGTCCTGTTCACTTGTCTTATGAGCCGTACTATTTCAGCGAACGAACAACGTTTTTCTCTCACAACAAATCAGTGAACAGTAATTTCAGTCATGGCTTTTCAGCAAAGCGAACAGAGCCTTTGCTTACATTTGTTGGAGACGTCATTTTATCATCAGTAGCATAAGATTGTATGGTTTGACTAATACACCAAGACTACCCAATTATGATCCTAAGTTATACATCATTCATATTCTTTTTTTTTAGCTTCGAGCTTGAAGAAGTGTTACCGATAAACCATGTTCTCATCTTTCTTGACTTACATGTACCGATGTATGTTTGACTAGGCCTAAATTTCGCTTCACGATGAAGTAGCATTTCTGTATACCAACTTTGTTACTGCAGCAACTTGGTAAGCTTAATGATCAACTAGCACTGATCTAATCTTGACTATCTCGTTTTTTTACTTGATTGTTTTGCTTCTGTGAGATAATAAGCACAATATATCAGCATGCACTTGAAGGTCGTTTTGTTCAACGTTATTTGGACAAAAGGAAATAAGTTTTCATCAATGTATTTTTGCTTCAATACATTCTGCTGATATATTGGTATTTGGCTTGAGGTTGATAATCTAAAATACATAGCATGCTCTTGGTGTTCAGAACTTGAATACATTAACTCGCATTTCAACTAGGAGATATAAAACTTGTTTCTTTTTTCCCTTTTGCATTAACTCATTTCAATTAGGAGATATAAAACTTGAATACATTAACTCATTTCAACTAGGAGATATAAAACTTGAATACATTAACTCAGTTTTATTCTGAACAAATGACAAAGGATATAGTGGAAATCTGTGGCTTTACTTTTTTTAAATAAATCCGGAAATTGTACTGATGAACCATTCAGTAGACAACCACGTGCTTAGTTTTCAGTCCCTAAAGCTTCTATGTTTTTTTTTCAAAAGAATAAAAATTTTCTCTACATATATGTATATGCAAGTGAAAATATTATGTGATCATTTATAGGTTCATGGAAAAAGATCTTGTAGGTACCTATCCATTTTCCCCTCTTGACTCTAGTACTACACAACTACATATACTTCTTCGAGTTTCCATAACTATCAGAATAAGCTTTAGTTTATTCAATGTTGGTTCGATATCGAGTCTGAGAACAATGCATCAGAATCAATCTACCCCCTAAATATCAGACTAGAAAATACAGAGTATGGGATCACAGCTAGCAGCTTACAGTTCAAGTCTTTGACGTGGCTCTTTTTAGCAATACGCCATACTCTCCGCATCATCTTGAGAGTGTGGATTACACAAGTGCACTGGCCATACTGAGCTCAAGATGCAGCCAGAACGGTAATTCAAGACGTGCATGCTGTAATCAGTGGCAGTTAAGCTATCAGTTAGGGGTTAAAAGTTAAAACCTAGGGAGACGCATGCACAACCAGCTGCATGCAATCAATGGCAGTAAGCTGCCGGTTAGGGAGCAAAAAGTTAATG